AAAAGAGGGTCCTTCTGAACTACCCACAGCCATGGCATTTTCATCACTAGCAACTGAGATGACACCTTTTAGATAGGATCTTCACTCTCACCTTTTTTCCCAGTAAGTGTAGGAGAAGGGAATGGATTTATTTTTTCCCTGGCACTCTATGCAGTGCTATGTTGGAAGACTGGCCGTGTTAACATGTAATTTCTATTAGGCTGTGTATTGAGAAATATGAATTTTACTCTTACCACTTCCTAATCTTTTAGTCCAGAATGAATAGCTGAGATTTTAGGATGTGCTGCAGAAATTCCTCCCCTCTTCTTGTTTACTAGCTTTTTAAGATGAGGTAGGGAAAATGATGTAATAAACTTGATTACAAGTTTTATCTTTTGAAACTTCAAATAATGGACGAATGCTTCAGTGCCATAAGCCATTTTTTGCTAATTTAAATTAAACCACATCCAATAAAAATGAAATTCTCGTTCCTCATGTTTTGGGGATTTTTTCCCCCCTTTTTTCCTTTAATTGTTGCATCTGCTGAAAGAAGAGTCTGTGCTCCAAAGCATTTGTAATGTGCCAACCCCAAAAGGCCGTGGTCTCTAGGATTTCCTTTGACATATTCATGCTCCGTCGTACAGTTTACGGTAGCAAGTAAGACTAAAGAATCTTGGACAGAAAACAAAGGCTTGATAAAGAGCAGTGTATTTTGAAATTGCACATCTACCATATCTTTGCAAGATATGACTCACCTTCCTAGAAAACTGTAGTGAAGTGTTTGCTGTCACAGCAGCTGACGCTGCTTTAGAAAAATATCCTTTGTTAAACTTGCCGTGCTTAATCTTCTAGAAACTTGGGGAAAACAGAATCGGTTTTCAGAATAATATCCACGAACAATGTCTATCTTATTCCACACACAAAGGATTTAACCTGTGCTCTGGTGGGAGAGGGAGGCGAAGCCATTTCTCTCCTTCCTATAGCGATGACAGTCAGAAAAGAGGCAAAATTCTGTTACTGCTTCGTAATGTCCGCGAGAAGTGGTTAGGCTTTGGCAGATGGATGTGAATTGCATTTTGATTCTTTTCAAAAAGTCGAGTCAGTATTCAGGGTGAAATTTAAGGTCATGCCGTTAGTCAGAGCAGTTCCGGTTAAACAGATCTGCTATTCACGCTGACGGTGCCCCCCCTTTCAATAGGAAGGAATAAGGGAAACAGCTGACGAGAAGTGATGACAGCCACTGCCAGCAGTACTGATAGTGGGTTCAGTAATCTAATAAACTGGGTTATTATGCTTTTTAGAGTCAAATGGCTGAATAAATGTGATGTGAAGTACTTTTAAAATACCGGGTTTAGAACAGTTCTATGCAAATAGTGATTCGTGAGAGATGGAATATTAAGCCTTTATATATTGCTATTATAACCTTTGTTCTGAATCATAATGAACATACAGGTAACGATAACTCGCGTCCCATGTAAATAATCGATGCAAAATGTTAGTGACATTCAATGTAGTATTTTATTCATGTTTCATATCTCTCTTCTTTTTCCTTAAAACAGAAGATGGCTTTGTAACAGAGTTTGTAAAAGTATCTCAACTGGTAATACTTAATCACAGTCCATTTTTCTGGCTAACAAATTTAGCAACACAGTACATCAGCCATGAAGATAAGCAGGATCCCGGCATTCCCTTACATTATAAATTTACGGTGTTTCATTTTGTCTCTGTCACCAGAAAGCTGCTTGAAGAGCTGCTTTCCTGGCTCTCTAAGTAGCCCACTGATGAGGGCAGGGTGCCCCGGTGGCCACAACTTCTGTCTTCAAGGGCTGGAGACAGGACCTTACAGCGCTCTGGCTCAGCTTTCCTTTTCAGGAGACCAGATCGATGGTCTTAAGCCATGTTATGTAGGCTTCCTCCTCCTCCTCCCCTGCAAGCACAGCTGTGTAATATAAAATAGAAGAAAGAATTTGGCATCCAATGAGAGGATGGGATTTTTTTATTGCCGGTTATGAGGACTGTTTGGTAGAGTACCAAGGGAAACGGAGAGCGCGGTCTGACTTCTCTCTTTTGCCATTGTTGGTCTTTGCCAATTTGGCACTCACCAGAGGAAGACTTAATTTCATCTGGGAATGAAACAAGCTAGCTCTTGGATACTGTGGGGTGGAAGTGTCTCAGCCCGAGGGTTGTTGTTCCCAAAGCCGTGCCTCAGAGGAACCATTTTTTAGATTATTTTTTTTTATTTAGAAATGAGGGAGAAGAGAGTAAATGATCTCAGCTCTCAGAACAAGTAATAAAAATGACTAAATAACTAAAAATGACAAATTTGTATGGTCTAAACATTAAGTGGGCTGAGAACAAGGTGTCCTGTATTTCTGATGATTGAAGGGAAAAGTCACGATCAAAAGCATGTAACAAACGTTTTAGCGCTAAAGACACATGGTTTTGAACTGTTCAGGTGGATTTATTTCAAAAAGTTACTTTCTAAGGGACTTTCTAACTTTAAAATGTGTTCTTAAATTTTACTAAGGGTTACCTTTTATTTTTGAAAAAGTAACCATTCATGAGACTCAGATGATCCTACTTATAAACCACAGATTCAAACCCAGCCTTTAACACCCAAAGGATGTCTTTTAAGGAGAGTTTTACCCAGTACCAGGCTTCTTACTACTTCTGGTTTTTTAGTTCTTTAGCTACATGTATTTGAAATGTAATGGTCTGTGTGCCTGCAATATGAATACCTGTTTTGAGCATCTCCTTGAGTTTAATGTAGAGATTACTACTATCTCAGTTTTGAACTTTGCCTTGTTTATGAATAGCAAAAGTATATCCTGCAGGGAGCTGCACATTGAGGGCAAATGTCCAATGTGCAAATTCTGGGCCAAAGTGCTTTTGGAGGGCTGGCCATACCTATTTCACACTTTTTCTGAAGGAAAAAAAACATTACCAATGTGAATTCTTCCCTCGAAAGCAAACAGGTGGCTCATAGACAAGTGCAGTTAGGGCTGTGATGATCAGGAACAGAACTGTAGGAGCCAGCAGATCTTCTCTTTGCATGTTCTTGCAGGCTTCTCAAAATCATTTATGGCCTCATCTTTGGTTTCCTTGGGTCAGTCAATGGCAGCCGCTGCCTCGAGAAGGAAGAATTCAGTTCATATTCCTTGTTCACAAGGGGAAGATATCAGGGCCCATGTTCGTAGGCATCATAAATCTTCAAAGACTGTTGAAAGCCATTTTTCATTTTCAATACCTAATCATTAGTGGCGGATACAGCTTTTCCAGTCCTGGTGAAATCAATGCTGTCCGCTATTGGTTCTTCGGAATCTCCTCTAAAAAGACACATTGAGCACAACTTTTCTGCTGGCTCACATCTACCTCACTACCATATCCATGTCCACAGGATGTCTTTATACATTCTGTGAACTTGTTGAAAGTTGATGCACTTTTTCAGGTTTTTTTCTGCTATTTAATGGATCCAAGTTCCTTGCAAGAATTAGGAGTCTGACTGTCTTTTTTTTGGTCCACCTTGTGCCTGGGCTTTAGTGACGATGCCCAGCTGTGAAAAAGACAAGCTTCTTACCTGAAGTCAGTAATGCATCAAAGAAGGCCTTCCCTCTCCAGTAGGCTTAGCTGGGGAGGAAGATTAACTGGTCTTTGGATCAGAAGGGCCAGATACCAGGTCCTGGTGACTGAATACAACTTCAGCATGGCAGAAGCTGACAGCCAGACTCAGCAGTGCTAACAATTCAGCTGCAGTGTTGTGTATAGATTTGGGTGCTGCAATTCAAGAAAGATAAGAAACAAATGGATAAAGTCCAGAGGAGAGAAATGAATGCTAAGTGTTTTAGAAAACATACCTTTTTGAAAGAGTGGAAGAATTGGGATTGTTCCACATAAGAAAAGCAGGCTGGGACACCATTAGCTTTCAAATATAATATACGTCTTGTTGCAAAGAGGAAAAAAAGATTTTTTTCCAGTGGTAGACAAGATGAGGCCAAAATAGAAGAAGAAGAAAAAACATTTAGATTAGACATTTTCAACAAGAAGTATATTAAAGCACTGGAATAGCTTGCTGAGGAGATCATAGGAGTATTTGAAAGATGATGTTAGGAACAAGTTAGACAAAGATCTGTCAGGAATCACAGAGGTATGGTTGATCCTGCCATTGTGAACAGGTTTGTGCTAGATACCTGCTTGAGATCCCTTTATTGCCCTACTTTTTATTAATAGGTGTTTCTCATGATGAGGACCAAAATTTTTCCATTCAAAGGCAGCCAGGTATCTCATTCTTTGTGGTTCTGATTTGGAGAAGAAATGCCTCCCCAGGCTAAATCATGAAACTGAACGTTAGCCTTTTTTCCCTGTGTGGCATAACTCAAAGACAGATTTAAAAGGTACTTCCAATGTTTTAGATGCTAGTAAGCTGGAACCCCTTTCACAGTGGACTGGAGTGCTGAGGGCTTTTGGATGCAGTAGGACAGTCGGTGTCTTAAATAAGCTTAAATAAGAGGCCTTACTCTTTCAGCTAGCTTAGCTTCTCTGTACATGTTCACATTTTGCTCTTCTACTCTGGCAGCATCCCCATGAGAAATAAAGTTTTATTTTAGTCTTGTACTTTACTGTATTTGAAACAGATATATTTGAAGACTGAGACCAGTATCTTAATTTTTAGTCCCCAGAGTCCTTCAAGATAATTCTGTCTGGGCTTTCACACCCTTTCCTTCTGAAAAAAGTTATAATCAGAATATTTTGTAATAGTCTGACTGCCCCAGACATTATGCCCACCCAGTAGAATCAATCAATCATATTTTATTATTATTTTATTTAATGTTACTCTGAAGATATTCCCACTTACATTTAACTTTCATAAGAATAAAGTAGAGCAAACTCCAATTCCGCTGAACTTTTTAATACCACCCTAAGTACTTGTATCTTTTGGCTGAAAGATGCTGTGGAATTATTTAAAATGTAATGCTTTGTAATTATTTCCAGAACAACCAAATATATTCATTTCTTTATTTCAGGAACTGCATCTGTGGCTGTTGCAGGTCTTCTTGCAGCTCTGCGTATCACCAAGAACAGGTTATCAGATCACACTGTGTTGTTCCAGGGAGCTGGAGAGGTATGCATTTTTATACGTCAGGAAAAACTGTACTATGAAGATTTTTTTCTTAATATTTAATCAAGTTATATCTATCTAGTTAACAAGAATGATCACTAACACCTGCTGAAAGTTGGGTTTTAATTCAAATGTAAACGTACCAAAAAATCTCTGATCATCTGATCGAGCCTCGTATTTTTCATAAGACATTTTGAGGAGATCTGTTCTCTTTTTAAAACTTTAGGCTCTAGCTCTTCAGCTGTAAGTTATTGAGCTGCTTTCAATGTAAACAAACAAAACTTTTTGGAAAGATGAGAAAACATGTCAGGCCACCAAAGAGAAATTAAATAAAATTTATTTACCAAGAAGTAGTTCCCCTTTGATTTTTCCTGTCATTAAATATAGGATCATCCATTTCTGAAGATTTTTATGCACATTATTTTTTATACTAGTTTTTCAGTATAAATTTCTAAGCCAACAACAAACAAGTGAGGGCTGTACTTATCTACAGTGTGACTAGCTGTCATCTCTTGTATGAAGTCTACAACCCCATGCAGGCTTCTGAAAAACATTATTCATGGTCACCAACCGCCCCATAGGTGCAATATACTAATCTGGCTTTGTGTAGTCCAGAGATCTTTATTTTGATTCAATATTTGGTTCTACTGAGATCAGGTCTATAGTTTTCAGAACGATGTGCATCCATGTTTGGCATGTCAGTGGCTTTGTGCATCAAGGCTGACCGTCTCTCTGAAGTTCCTTCCCCTGGTTTTGCTCCATGTTCAACAGACAGATGAATCTATGGTCTAATGTTTATTTTTTTTGTTAGTGTTGTCAGTGTGCCTGTTGCTGCAAAGAGGTAATGGTAGATATCATCCCTGCTGCAGGAGCTCATTCCTAATAAAACTACTTACTTCTTGACTACAAAAGGGGAATCTTACTTGATTCTCAGTGAAACTGAGTAATAAAGAGCAAGAAACAGAATCAACCCCATAAATAAGTACATGAGTTGGTGATCAGAAATACTGAATGGTCTGTTGGCTCATTTTGTTGCCTGTTTTTCAATCTGTACCTGTATGACATTTGATCTGTTGGATGAAATATTATAAAATCTAGCAAGAATAATACATGTTTCAGCAAAATATTGGTAAGTGAAATTTTCTCGTCCCTGCATTCACTGGGAGCACAGCCAAGTCTAGAGTTACAAAACACATGAATAGTAGGTAAAAGGAGACTTACCTTCTTGATGGACATTTAAAAAAAAAATTAAGTGGAAAAAATCTTTTAGGACTGCATTTCACTTTCTGGCATGCAGAGCGTGGTTTCCTTTGGTTTAAATTACAAAAAAAAATAATCTAATTAACAAAAAATGTCAAAGAAGAAAAAATATTTAATGTATTCTGAGATGATTATGTGGAATAAATGTTAGTTTTAGCATTTTTCATTAGATTTTAAACATTTATTATGCTCTTCACACTGTAAATGCCATCTTAAGATTTATTTGTACTATGATTTATCTATATGATTTAAGATTTATCTATACTATTTATCTACATCATGGTTTCCAATTAACAGATGGTAGCAACAGTTCATTAGTGTTTACTTCATGAAAAAATAATGATTCAGTTTTATTGCTAAATAAAATTAAGAAACTAATCTAAAATAGTGGGTAGAGGAAAAAAGCGGGGGATTTCTTTCATTTCTAGGTTTGTATGCTACGTTTCTTCTCTTTCCTTCAGGCTGCGCTGGGAATAGCAAACCTCATTGTTATGGCTATGGAAAAAGAAGGGGTATCTAAAGATGCAGCTATCAAAAGAATATGGATGGTCGACTCAAAGGGATTAATAGTAAAGGTAATAGAATTTTCTCATTCCTTTAAACATCACGATAGTTATTTGCAGTCTGTAGATAAAGGCAAGAACGTATTCTTTGTGAAAGCAGCTACAATTGATCTCTCTTGACATAGCAAGATGTTTTTCTTTTCTAAAGTGTATTATATGAATGACAGGCTCCCATGTTACTTCAGGGGGGCCATGATTATGCTTGGAGTTCCTGCTCTATTTCTATTAGAGATGAGCACAGAATGAAGAGAATTTTTCAGCAGTTCATTAAAAAAACATGTAAGGAAAGAAATGTTCAACTTGTGGGTTTAATATTTCCCACAGTAATGCAACTATTATTTGTTAGCCCAATCTTGCACAAAGATGTATAGATACATTATTAGGATAGCATTTGAGAATTTTTTAAAAGGAACAAAAATATTTTTGAAGAGAATATTTTCCTGATGCTGCAAGCATGTCATCCTTTTGCAAAAACTGAGGTACATTGCATCAAATAGCTTCTATGCACAGTGATACAGCTCACATTGCAGATGATGTGGTCTGCAGTGCTATCAACACTGGTCAGAATTTGAAGCTGCTGAGAGACTTCATCAGTCACCCTTACCTCATTCCTTCCATGTGCCAAAATAAAGAAACATATGAATGCCATGTGCCAGAAAAAAGAAACTGGGATGTTTTAAAAGGTGGTTATGTATTTAATAGTTTGTGAGCTACTTAAAAGAAATGGATGAGAAGTCAGTTGGCTTTGCTTTTTCACCTTGCCTGTTGTTAGCAGTGTTTGTGATCGTCTTTGTTGGTACTGCACTCTTGCGCCATGTTCATTAGCTGTGTAATATTTAGGATCTTTTGTAGTTTGCATACCTTGCATCAGGAGCATGCATTCTGCAGTCAGTATTTGTGTTGGTTTATTGAACAGCAATCAGCACCTTTCACTCATACTGTTAAAGGGAAAATAGTAGGATCATAGACATTGAGATGGGAGAGTTATTACTAAGGTCATTTTAGACGTCCCCAGCCAGAAAGCACAGAATTAGCCTGATCATGTACAGAAGAATGATGGTATTTGCTACTATCCAAGACACTATCCAACACTATGGTGTTTTGTTTCGCCTGTTTGTTTTAATGAGTGTTTTTAACCCTTTTGGTTTTCATCTAACAATCTGTACTTTTCAATCCAAACGCAGATGACTGTAGGCCCATGTATCTTCTGTGGCTGTTGAAACCTAGAGGTTGCCTAAGAAGAATGGTGTGTTGCACAATTTCCTCCACCATAGAGGCTGGGATTATCAAATAATACAATTGAACTAAAATCACCTCCTGGTGGTGTTAAGGAAACAAACTGACAGGGGCAGAAGTATAGGAACTTCACAACCCTAAAGCAGTAAAATGGGTTTTAGGTGCGGGTCCATCAAGCCAGGGTGGTTAACCAGCCTTTCTTCTCTCCTGCTCGTTTCCTCTTCCTGCTTCTTTTACACCTCTCGCTGCTAATTTGCTACTCAGCTGAGGAGCTACGTTGTTGCTCTTGGTACACAGCAACTAATTCATTTCACAGTTTCTGAATTTTTAGTGCCTCGGTGACCGTATTCTTTCCTCACCACCTTCTAGCTTCAGCGCTCTCAAGTGGGGCCAAAACCAATCAGCATCTCACACAGCCTCAAAGTTTCTTTCCTCTGCTTATTCTTCTTGGTGGGGCTTTCATTTGGAATTTGTCCAAAAAGCAGTCCACTGGATTTCATGTCCTGCCTGGAGTATATTTGCGAACTGTTTGTGATAGCCAGACATAACAGCTGTCTGAGATAGATTAGGGCTGGATTTGTGGCCAGATGTTGACACAAGCAGCAGGAGCCGATGGTACGCATTTGGGTCATCGCTGGTGTTCCTGGAAGACCTGGGAGCACCAGTCTCCCTGTCTGGCCATCCTGAGGGGGCTTGAAAATGGGTGGGCGCTTATTGTTGTGGTGAGTTTGAGTGCAGAGCTTGCTGGACCTAGAAGCTGGAGATACTTCAGTGCGAGGCCTGAGCTGGGCATAAGGAAACCCATCCTTGGTCCAGGGCTCTGCAAGTCCCCTCTTGGCTTTCTTCTGCAGCTAAATGTATAAATTTTAAAAAAATTTAAAATGCCCCCCCCCCTCCCCCCCCAACAGACAGAAAATACAACAAAAGCC